TCTGTGGTTCAAACCTGCCAGCTGTTCTTCGGGAGAAAGATGAAGCTAACTGCTCCTATAAAGTCTTGGGAACCTTTGTAAGGTCACTGTGAGTCAGTATTGACTTGTTGGCAGTGGGTTTTGTTTAGCCTTGTTAGGGTGCCTTTAAAACATCCAGTCAAAGTAGTGGTGGTCTAGGGGATCTTCGAGACTAACAGATTCCAGACCGAGAGGTCAACTGAGAAGGTCATGGTAAATGTAGTTTGGTGCCCTCAGAAGTAATCTTGATAGATTTTCTCGGACACCATACAGTCATGGGGCCGATTGTGAAGATGTTTTAAGGAAATTGAAATCTACTCTGGTGAGAAAAAAAAAACAGGAGAGTTGTGTTAGCCTGGGTAGACTAGAGAAACAAATTCATAGACACTAATTTGTGTATAAAGAAGAGGTTTATATGTAAGAGCAGTTGGCTATTGAGAAAACATACCAGCCCAGTCCAGATCAAGTCCATAGTCTGATATTAGCCCATATGTCTGATACCAGTTTATAAAGTTCTCTTCAGACTTACAAAACATGCAATGGTGCTGAATGCAGGATGATCACAGGCCAGTGGGTGGGAAGTCTTGTGGATCCAGTGGTGTTGTAAGCATCTCAGCACTGGCAGGGGCCTCCATGTGGCTTCTCCAGCTCAGGGCACTAGAGTAGTTCCATGTGTCTTGTTAGCTGTATGTCTCCCAGGGTATGAGCAGAGAGAGAAAGTGTTCTCCACCTCCAAGGAGGAAATACAGGCATTCCCAGAATCCTCAGGGAGGAAGGCCATGCCCACACAGATGCCTCATTGGCTATGAACTGATTGAAAGACGAGACTCCACCCCCTCACTCTTAATCCTCTCAAGTCCCAAATTGACACCAGATTATGTAACTCCCATAGTTGTGCTGAGGAATTCTTTTTTTTTTATGTCAGTACACTTGCTCGTTCTTTACATATTATATAGTCTAGCCACATTGTATAGATAATTTGCAAAAAAGTAATCAAGTTGCAGAACAAGTATGTTGCAGAACCAAGTATGTCATTTTCAGGACTGAGGGACCCCTGATCCAAGCCATGCTATTTTCAGCTGCCTCGGGCTTGTGAAAGTCGGACAGTAAATGAGACTGCAGAGGGACTGATGCATTTGAATGATGGTGTTGAAGAGTATTGTTACGTACCTTGGACTGCTAGAAGAACAAAGAAACTTGTTTTGGACAAAGTACAACCAGAATGTTCTTGGAATTGGTGAGGAAGAAAGTTGATCGTGAATACGTTGGAGTGGGAGAAACTAGACTCTGACAAAGGACTCCGGGCTTGGAGAAGTAGAAGGTTGGTGAAAAAGAAGAAGCCCTGCAGTGAGCCGGAAAAACACAGGTAGCAGCCACACAGGGTTCAGACGCAACAGCTGTGAGGACAGTGCAGGACTGGGGCAGTGTTTCCTTCGTACATGGGGCCAGTGTGAGTCGTAAGTACTTGATAGCTCCTAAACACAGTGACTCTGTAGCAAGACACTTTGTCTTGCTGATCTGTTGTTACGGAGTTGTTGTCTCCTCCACTGCCTACCTGCTCCCATAAACAAACAATCGAATGCGTTCCTGTACAGTTATGCCTACACACTCTGAGTCGCCAAGCCCCAGTGGACAACGGTGCAGTCGGCCAGTGCAGTGGAAGCAGCTTGTGTTTTAGTTTTTTCAAGATTTGCATGTCTAGCATGGGGCCTGTTATATTAGAGATAGGTAATGAAGTATAAACAGAATTCAAAAGATATTTTTAAATAAATAATGAAACTATTAAGAAACTTCTTTCTTCCCTAAGGCCCCCGGACTTTCCCTCTAAACTCACATAAAGGACTACTTGGATCAAGTAGATACAAATTGCTCATATGCAAATCGTTGTTTCTTACAGCACAGTGGAATTCAGCTCCCCTCCACCACTTATTTGCCCAATTCTGAAGTGTAAAATGGCATGGATTGCAAGATTCACTGTATTTTTAAAGGAACAAGTTAGATTTTGCTGCCAGGAAGCTGTGACAGGCAGTTGGTCGCGGCAGCCTCTGGCTGCATTGACAATTCTTTCATCTGTGCCAGAAGAGTTGGCAATTTCTCCTGCCTTCCCCTCCACTGCTTGGTGTGTGAGTGAGAGGCGGTATTTTCGCCTCTCCCTCAGTTACAAAATTAAAAATAGCCTCATCTTCTGATGGCGGTTCCTTTTTTTCTTGGGACCTGTAAACCATTAGTTATTGTTTGCCAAGAAACTATGGCGTTGCCATCTTTCAGCCTACAGGGCGTATTTGCTTCAACAGCATCCATTGTCTGCCCGGTTGCTTTGTTTCTGTTCTTTTCTGATTCATGAATTAACGTTTCGTTCCCATGCCAGATTGTAGAATGATTCTTTTGAAGATATTTTACATGACCATTAAAGTCAGCATGCATAGTGCAGATCATTTAGTAAAGGGATGACATTATGAAGAGCCCTGATCAATGTCGGACAGAAAGTAATGCATATCAAAGTCTTAATAGCAAGCACATGCATTTTAGTGTTGAAGTACATTTTTCTCTGAAGCATTTCCTGCAGGTTGCTCAGCCCATCTCTGCACCCCCCTCATAATCTTTCCCGTGTTTGAGCTCATTATTGTAGCCAAGCATTGAGCATCTTCCTGTGTTTCCAGTGACTTTCTGCAGGTCATCCCTGTCCCTAAGGTGCGTCCTGCCTGTACTTGCATGACAGAGTTATTCATGCTGTTGGCGGATCGTGGCATATTTGGTGATTTTCTGCCAACACTGAGAAGGCTTTGCAAAAGTCCAGGGGGAAATGGAATTTCAAGATAATGGAATTTCCCCACAAACTTTTTAAGTTCTCCCCATGTGTCTTAAGTCCTTCCCTCCCATTCCTCCTATAGAATTTAAATAATCAAATTTCTGTCTTATTCATTTTCAGCTTTGGCATGCATATGATGTAATTGACAACGCCCTGGCTTGGGTCAACTTTATAATAGTATAATATAAATGATGATGATACTAATGATAATGCTAATAGCAGCTTATATTTACTGACCATTTTGCTCACCATATTCAAGTCTGGACACTTTATATGTACTAATTCAAGGAGTCTTCATAATAGCTCTTTGAGATAGCAACTATAATTCTCATTTTACAGATAAAGCAAACATTATAGATAAAGTGAAGTAATTTAGCCAAGTTCACTTAGCTAGTAAGTGATGGAGCTCAGATTTAAATCCAAATAGCATGTGCATTATGGGATTTCTTTCAGGGTGTGCTGTTCCCTGGTGCAGTGGTTTCCTGTGCCCACTGTGTGTGCACATGATTGCCATGGGAGTGTTACGTGTGAAAATAGGGTATAAGAGAGATGAGGTTCTTAGAGCCTCTACCATGCTGTCAGATATCAGTGATGCCCTTTGAAATTGAACTAAAAGTTCATGGCTTGCCTAATCTGATTTTTGGGAGCATGTTAGAGTTTTATAGGTAAAAAGAATAGGCAAGAGAGAAAAGTTTTAATTTTGACAGCCTCCCATCATATGAAGAACACAGCATCGGGAACGGAGGCAGACTCATAAGTGACGTGCCATGTGCAGATGGCACAAGCTTACTTGCTGAAACCCAGGAGACCATGAAGGACTTGCTGAGGAAGATCCAAGACTTCAGTGCGGATTGCACCACAACAGAAAGGAAGCAAAAATCCTCACAGTGGGACCCACAAGTAACACAATGATAAACAGGAAATATACAAAAATGTGAAGGATTTCGCTTGATTTTCTTTTCTTTTTAGGATTTCACTTTATTTGGTTCCATAATCTACACTAATTGGGTAAGTATGTTGCACAAGATCTCTTTCAAGTAAATCGAAGGTTTCACTTTGAGGATGAGAGTGCACCTCACCCATGCCGTAGCAATCTCAGTCCCCTCATATGCAACTGAAAACTGGACAGTAAGGAAACCTGGAGAAGAAAGGATGCATTTGGATCATGTGGTGTTGCAGTGGAATGCTGAAGAATAATGAACAAATCTTTCTTGTAAAAAGTGCAGCAAAAATTCCCCTTAGGATCAAGAATAGATAGAATCAATATTTCGGATATGTGATCAAGAGGGACCAGTCCCTGGAGAGAGAGGGCCATCGTGGTTGGAAAAGTAGGTTGATCCCAGAGCTGGATCGACACAATTGTGAGGCTGGTGCAGGACGGTGGGTGGGGCGGGCTTCCTTCTGTTGTACACCAGGCCCCTGTGGGTGGAGACAGTGCTATCACAGAATCACTGTGAGTTAGAACCATGCCCACAGCACACCACCACAACAGTGTCACGTGTGTGAAACCATTGAGAAGGCACCTGTAGAAAACACAGTGAAGATCTTCCCAAGGTCACACAGTCCATAGGTAATTAATTTTCCTCGTAAGCTCATTTGTGGTCCTAACAACATGGGGTCCCCTGCATCAGATTTAGCTAGAGAGGAAACTCACAGTGGGGCTGAAAAGTCTGAAGGAAAATCTGTCAATCAAATCTGTAGGGCGGAAAGTGAATTTCAAAGAAAAATTCAAGATGTTCTGAGTTGAGCTTGGGAGCCCTTTTAATCTGTGTGCTGAAACTTGCTCTTTGTAACATGTGTCAGCATCTCACAGTGGTTGCCGTTGGCCCTGCTGGAAAATCAGAGGCTCGTAGAGCTTTAAAAAGTATCAAAACAGCAACTGTGTTATTAGAAAATAAACCAGAAGATTAATTTAATCTGTTGCCCAGAAACGCAGCCCAAGGGGAATCAGATCGTACCTTCGTTTTTAAATCTTCTGCCATGCCATGTGGCAGGCTAGGCAGAACTGAACCTGGAGGGAAATCGGCCATTTGCTCGGGGGACCTGCTGAGTCATTAGGAACTTAAGGGCCAGCTACAACTTTCCTTCCAAGTAATGGCTTGGCTGTTGTCTCATTGGCGGGGAAGGCTCTGCACTCATGAACGCTTTGGTTTTAACCTTTTCTCCGTTTTAGGTATTGCTTGGATGGCCGAAAAGCTTTAGAAAGAGATGGGGGCTTTTCTGAACTTCAGTCTCGTCTTATTCGTTATGAGACTCAGACGACCTGCACCAGAGAAGGTTTTCCGATGCCGACCGTGTTGAGCCCTCTGCCGTCCCCTGCTGTTCTGTCCGAGCCGGGAAGCGTTCCTGACGGCGAAGCCGTGCAGCGTGAACTCCGCACTGAAGCCTCCAGATTGAAGCGGCGGCGATCCCAGGACCCGAATTGCCTTTATCCCCCGAAAAGGTGACGTATTAAATGTGCAACGTAGCATCCAGATGGGAGCATTTTCATCTCCAGAGTGACTTCTTTTCCATATGAACCTTTGTCCCAGTTCTCTGAGACAATTTGATTTTCACACAGTTTAGGAAGTCTAGAAGTGTGACTTCCGGCTTTCGTTGTTGGCCTTGGCACCTTCTCGTAGCTTTTGCTCCAGGGCTGTCTTCATAGGGCTTGGGGGTTCTGTCCTCCATCTCTCTCTGCTCACTTCTTTAGTCTCCTTTGAAGTTTAAAGGAGTTGGCTCATTGCATCCTTTATTGATTCTACCGCATCAGTGTAACGAAGACAGCCCATTGCCATAGGGGACTGTAACCACAGCCATATGAGCTAGGATTCAGTTTAAGGACATAATTCAGTCCAAGATGTTCCACCCATTGGTACCCAGAGTTCAAGTTCTTGCCACCTGCAGAACACATTCATTCACTCTCTATTAGTATAGCAAAGTCTTAAATCAACTCCCAACCCTAAAATCTCCTTTTCTAAAACATGTAAATAAAATATGGATGAGGGCTGAGGTATAGCAACCCTGGGGTAAGATTCCTCTTCATATATGTACCTGTGAAATTAGAATACCGGCTCTGTTTCTGAGGTACACTGGTAGTGTGAGTACAACATTGGTGTGCCCATTGTAAATGGAAGCAGTTGGAGGGCAAGAAGGGATAACAGGCACCAAGCCAGTCTCAAGCCCACCAAAACGAATGGCATTAGCTCTCAAGGCTTGACAACCATGCTCTGTTCTCTGAGACCATCTGGATAATGGCCCACCGCCTGGAAAATGGGTGTGGACCACACCCTTAGACTTGAGGTGGAGGCCACTTGACCTTGAGCTTTCAGTCTGTCTTCTAAGCCTCCTGGGATGGCACTCTTGGGACTTACTCTCCCAGTCCATCTGAAGGGCAACTGTAGCCCCTAGGCTTTCCCTGTGAGTCAGCGTCAACTTGATGGCAAAGAGCTTGTGTTTGGGGTTTACGCTGCTGAATCTGAAGGGGTTTTACTCCTTAACATTTGGGATAATCGAGCGAATCTACTTGAGGGCAGTGTTTTGTGTTTATTTTGCAACTATTCTTCACTCCTGACCTGCGACTAATAAAAATGTGTGGGCCTTCCAGAAAAGAAAGTTCACCTACAGGTTAACACGGGGAAGGCTCCAAAGTGAAGCATTTTGTCTTGGCAGAAGCACATGTAGACATTTAAAAAAGTTGAAGAGCCCGTTTTATTTTGTACAGGCAGTTGGTTAGGGCCAATAATAAAAGACATTTCTTGTTAAAGTGATCTTAACCAAAAAGTGAAAGGACTTGCACTTTTACAAAAGATAATGCAGATCGCTCTTTGTGTGGTGGCCTGAGGTTATCTGCCAAAATGGTTCGCTACTCACTTGAACCAGGAAACCCTACAAAATCCTAAGTCCAGGTCACTTCAAGAACACCTGTGAAACTGCCCAGGCCATCAAGGCTATGCGCATCCGGAAAGCCGCCAGATATCTGAAACACGCCACTGCAGAAGCAGTGTGTGCCCTCCTGACGTTCAATGGTGGCATGGGTAGGAGTGCCCAGGCCAAACAGTGGGGCTGGACCCAGGGTCGGTGGCCCCCCCAAAAAGAGTGCTGAATTTTTGCTTCACGTACTTAAAAATGCAGAAAGTAATGCAGAACTGAAGGGTTTAGATGTGGATTCTCTCGTCACTGAGCACATCCAGGTGAACAAAGCCCCCAAGATGTACCGCCGGACTCACAACGCTCATGGTCGGAGCAACCCAGACATGCGCTTCCCCAGCCACACTGACATGATCCTGACTGAGAAGGAACAGATCGTTCCCAAACCAGAAGAGGAGGTTGCACAGAGGAAAAAGATCTCCCAGAACAAACTGAAGAAGCAAAAACTCCTGGCTCGGGGAATAAATTACACTTAAAATAATAAAAGTTAAAAAGAAAAAAAAAAAGATAATGCAGATCATCGCTGATTCATGTGGCAAATTGTAAATGAGAGAAAAAAGTGGTAATAGTGCTCGTTTCCCCTGTTCACTGCAGTTCCCGCTCACTGGCGCCTGGGTCCCCAGGTGAGTTCCTCACTGGAAGAACCAAAGGCACACCAGTATAACACAGCGTTTGATCGGCTCTTCTTGAGCCACTGCTCGGGTGGACCTGCTTGCCACACGCAGGGCAGAGCGTGGTCTGAGTTGCTGATTCACCTCATGTGTGTTCTTGGTTCCCCCACAGCAGACTGGTGAAATCCGAGAGTTCAGATTCTCCTCTTTCTCGGACACGTGGCAGCAGCGGCCTTCCCCATCACGTTGTGACTACCAGGCGGCCACCGGCAAAGCAGTCGGCATCGACCTGCCCACCTGCCCCGATCCCCAGGGCAGAAACCAAGGGCAGAGCCAGTCAAAGACGTGCCACAGAGTCCAGAGCATGCAGGCGAGCTCAGGAATCCAGATCGCAGAAACACACCCGGGTAAGGAGTCATCTGCCATCTTCCTGTGTCCTCACTGGGCGGCACTTCCTGCATGGGGTGCCTTTAAACTGTGTGCCCCGGGATCTTATGCATAAGAGGAGTGGCCTTGACAATAACCAAGGGTGATGGAGGTGTGGTGGGAACGAGGGTGAGGGTTTAAATACAACAGCAGCAGCTGCGAGTTGATCAGTGTGGAAGCTGTGGGCATTTGCTTTAAAATATCTGCCATTATTTTGTTTGTTTGAAATGTCCCATAGTAAAAAATCAGTGCACACCTCTATCTCCCTGCCGTGTGTCACATTGACACCCCATTTCAGTTTGGACATCCTGACTGGAATTCCTATGGCAGATACCCAATCATTTCCTGCTAACATGCATTCTGGGGTGGCATGCGTGACCCTGTAAATGTCACCCATAACCCCGTTCTTCCCCGCAGGCTCCTCTCAGTGTGCTTATCTCCCAGGAGCATGGTGAACTGATTGGGTAGTACAAGGGATTGAACTCAAACAGCTGGGATAACTTGAGCATGCTCATTTCCCAAGAAGTATCAGTCATCTCTTATGTTCTGTTCAAGATACTGAAAGAAGTCGTTACTGAGACCCTGAAGAGACACAGTGTGACTGAGACTCACGAATGCTTCTCTGCCTGCAGCCAGCGTCTCTTCGAAATCTCCAAGTTCTATCTGAAGGTACAGTGTTTTCTCTGCGAATGTCCATGTGTGGTTTGACATACAACGATGCGAAGGGAGTGTTTCTTAGGCGGAAAGCATATAACGGGGTCTGATTCCTTCAGACGGAAAAGTCGAAGCCACATCTCTTCTATTTGCCTGATTTTGGGGCTTGACTATAGAAGAGTATATTATAACTGGCACCCTCAGTATTTCCACTGCCAAACTTTTTGACTTGGGTTGGTAGTAAGTGTCGGGACATGTTAACTAGTACTTGGATAACAGAGTGACATGCTTCTGAACTCCTTGGCAATTCTGGACCTGTGCCCAGGCACTGCGAGCTACTGGGGAGTTCAGTCTCGCAGGGGACAGTGTTGGTGTTTGTGCCAGCTCTCTGTTTGGGTGGCTGCGTGAAATGCCAGCTTAGAACCACCAAACAAGGGATGGGGTGGCTGAGAATGTGCCCACACTGTGGAGAAGGTCCCTCAACCACTGCTGCAGAGACGGT